CACCATGACGAAGTGGCAGCGTATTCGTGATTTGTCCCACGCGTAAATGTCGCAAAAGGACATTTCAATCGCCGTGGGAGTGTCCCGGTGGACCGTCAAAAGGGTTTTAGACCGAGAAAAGAAAGGACAACTATCCGCAAAGGTGGCCACAGGTCGTCCGAGGTCAGCTCGGGTTCCGAGGGTTATCGCTGCCATCAAAAGGAAGATTTTGGTGAATCCAGTGCGTTCAATAAGGAAAATGGCAAAGGAATACGGGATCAGTGACTTTACGGCACGGAAGATCGTTAAGTCAAGGGCACGGAAAAAAACTCACATGATTACCAACCGCATCCGGGAGCTACAGGTCGAACGATGCAAGAAAATCTTGAACTTCCTTAAGCGAAAAAATCCGGTAATCCTGTTTACCGACGAGAGCATGTTTTCCGTCGATGCCGTATCAAATTCCAGAACCGACCGGTATATTAGTTCTCTTCCGGTAAAAGACGTGGCCGACGAGCACAAGAAGGTGTATCTGACCAAGCATCCTGCTAGCGTTATGGTGTTTGGATTGGTGGCTTCCGATGGCAAAAAAAATGGAGCCGGTGTTCGTTGCAGAAGGCGACAAGGTCAACACGGAAGTCTACATCGGGATTTTAAGTAAGTATGTTCTTCCGTGGATCAAAGAACAGTACGATCCAAAGCCAAATGTTGTATTTCAACAAGATGGGGCTCCGTGCCACACCTCGAACCGCACTTAGAAGTGGTTGCAGGAACATCTTCCGTTCTGGGCGAAGGATATATGGCCGCCATCCAGCCCCGATCTTAATCCGCTGGATTACTCAATATGGCGCATCATGAAGGCCAAGGCCTGTTCTAAACGCCACCCGAGTACAGCAAGCCTCAGACAAACATTGACCCGTATCTGGAGAGAAATGGATCCAGATTACATTGTTAGAATCTGCCGTGCATTCCGGAAGCGTGTGGAGACCGTAATTATAGCAAGTGGAAACTCGATCGATGATTAACATAGTTTACCCGACTAGAAGAGCATATCAGAAAAATAACAAAATTTTAACAATATTTGATACGAATAACTTATTATGATATAATTTAGATCAGAGCCATCATCACTCAAAAACATGTTAAAACATCCTGATGAATGTGGGCGTCTTAGTGGAATACCTGTATAATGAGAGAGAGAAGGATTAGTATTTTCCATTTAATTCCACTACTTTATTTGCTTATCCTTGACAGATACGCGTATTTCGTCTACAATGTGCAGACTTCTTCAGTGTCTTGTACTAATACTCGACTCGAGTCGAGTATTAGTACAAGACACTGAAGAAGTCTGCACATTGTAGACGAAATACGCGTATCTGTCAAGGATAAGCAAATAAAGTAGTGGAATTAAATGGAAAATACTAATCCTTCTCTCTCTCATTATGTTAAAACATTCTAATACAAATATATATATAATATAATAATACAATAAATATTTATTATCTCTATTATTTTTTGAACAGATTTATATCAAAATTTGATCTATTTTCGTTCAACAAATAACTAATACTGCTTATTTGGAATAGGAACTTTAATCAATTTGAGTTTTTGATTTACAAAGAGAAATATATTTGGTTGCCCGTCTCTCACCTTCCCTATTTGGTATTTCGACACTTGCACATAATCAAAGTGTATCATTGATACAAGCTAATTTTAGATTTTCTGTCATCTCATAGATGAACATGTTTTCGAAAACTTTTGTTGTAAATAACAAATTTCCTAGAACATAAGCATTTTTTCTAGAATCGATTAGCAACCGATGAATACTTAAGAAAACACCATTTAAAGAAATGAATGAATCATCGTAGTTAAAGCTCTTACATAAATCTTTGGTGCATACTTTAATCCCTTTGTAATAATACTTTCCGATTTCGTAAAAGTTTGTATCTCTTAGTTCTAACTCGACTTCCACATTTTCTGGCAATATATATTGATTATTGTTACTAAACTCTACGTTATGATGCTGGGGACTCCAAACTCTTGATATCCAATCATTGATTGGTGAATTTTTCATTTCAGTGAAATGGCACATCCTGTTCAATAAGAATTTATGTGATACCTGAAGGACAGGATGATTTTTCGAGGTTTGAAATTCTATAAGCATGCTTTTTCCATTTTCATACGGATACAATGACGAATTCCAAAGCGCCCCAAGGTTTCGAACACTTTTTGTAAGATTGGAGGTTAAATGCACATTATACACCATATTTTTCGTTCCGTAATGTTTTTCAAAATCCCTTACAAACAGATCTAAGTATTTTTCACATGTGGAAAGTGTGATTCTGGATACTTTGAATTCAAGAAGCTGGAATACACTTGTACTCAAAAGCATTAAATGACTCATATACTTGGGTGGGAGCAAGTCATTGAAACAAGGGTAAATACAGTGGAAAAGTATCGTTTCCCATTCGCTAGCCTTGAATTTGGCATGTTCGGTTATACTCCTTATCCGCCTTGGGAAGCTGCTTGGTATTCGAATAGCCTGTAGTCTTTGTTCTATCAACGCTTTATAATTTCCGATATGGTATTGTTGCGATTTGTTCTCAGCGTCCCCTTCTAGAAGTAGTTCCCATATTAGCTTCATGAGACCCAAGTTTACCAAATGCATGTAATCTGGTGGCAACCCTTTGATAATGTCAAAATCTGGAATGCCAGTGAGAACGCTCAAGCCCTTGATTCCAAGAACAGTTTCCTTCGTTTCTGAATTATGAACTTGCATCATGAGTTTTCTTGTGGTCTGATTATCTCTAAGTTTGGATTGTTAATAGGGATAGCGGATTTGCTTGTTCATCACTTTTCCTGGGTGAAGGCACATAGTACACCCGAATTTGCCGTTAAATTGCTTTGAACAGAGAACTTCGCGTGTACCAACTGAATCCAAACAATCCTGGAGAACTCAGCGTGTTAGAAGTCTGTTATTCGTTGTATCACATTATGTTATAAACCAGTAACATTATTTAAAAAATGTAATTTGGTTTGATATTTTTTTATAGGATTGTTACATAATATGTTATTTTTTTGTTAAGACTCGAGTAAATTTTGTTATAAATTTAGATTTTTAACAACATCCTGCATCTAGTTTATAACAATCGTTGTTAAAGAAAAACAGTTTAACAACGTAACACACGGTGATGTAATCTTGTTATTTCCATCTAGTCGGGTAAGACTCTGAGAAACATACCCTCTTTGAATATATAAAAAAAACTCGAAAACGAAATCTTTGAGAGTTTTTTTTTAATTTTGACATTGCTCAATGGTGCAAACATTATCACGCATACGGTATACTCATTCAAAGTTTCTTATTTCTTGGTCAAAATTGTTTGCGATTCTCGCATGGTTTTCAACATTCATCTAGTATTATCAAAGTAACCCCAAAACAAAAAATTGATGTTTGGTCACAAGACGATAAAAATAGTGCAAATGCAATAATTACTGGCAAACATGATACTAGGATCCCCAGTACTTGCTTTAAAAAATAAAAATTTGAAAAACATTGATTGTTGTAAAAAATATTTAGAATATACTTAAAAAGCTATCAAAGTTACCCCGTTTTACGGTACTAATAGTTTGTCATTGTAGCTCAATTTCCAACTATCCCAACATGATTTATTATTTAGATTAATTTGCACGGAATTGAAAAATCTACCAGTGACCCATATATTGAGAAAAGCTGCCTTACGGTATTTTTCGGATATTAAACACTTTCTCAAGCTTAGATACGCATGCTTGGCACACACAGTTTTGGTCACGAACTGCTCATTTGCTAATAACTTTGAACGCAGTTGACGAAACATAGTTCTTTTTGAAGTAGTAGATAGAATAGAGTTTAAGCTTGTTATAGATACGTAAAAAAAAGTAGATTTTAATTCTAGTAATAAACTGAATTGGTGTTTGCATTGTAAAAATGAAGTGAGAAATGATCGCAGCACATCTCGACTTTAAGAGTAAAAATTCATTTGTGTTGATTCAAATGTTAAGATTCACCTACTCTTTGCATATTTATAGTAAGCTGTGATTCTAATCTATTAATTACTTTAAAGAAAAACAAATTTCAACAACTGAGTGAAAAGTTATTAACAAATGAGCAATTGGTGTGTACAACTGTGCATTCCAAGCATGTGGATACGGACCATGTTTGGTTTTGCAGATATTTTTATTTTTCCTCTTTTATGATATATTTTTCCGAAAAAATATTGATTTTCCTAGCTGAAAAACTACACTGTCGTTATTGTGAACAAGTAGATGACAAAGGTTTCCTAATCTGTCCACTAGGATCGCTGCAATAGCTGAACTATTTCATTAATTACTTAATTGTCCTAGCTTGAACTTTAAGTTTTCTAACTGTTTCTATGATTACTGAAATTTTAACTTTCGAAGACTAGTTTAATGATTTAAAATAAATTTCGCGTGTGAGCATTTCCATTTGCAATCTGCCAGAAAAAGTCAAAGTATTGCACGAATATCTCCTATTTGAATCAAACTTTCAACATGTCTTCGGTATGGGAGATAATGTTTTTTTTTCCATTCCGACTGTAGACTATTTTTTCAAGAGGCGTATGTTTTCACATCTAGATTTTTCAAAAAAATTGTAACTCGAAAACCGTTGATTGTATCGAAATTGTTTTTGAGAAGAAGTTGTAGAGAATCAATTGAGCTTTATTAAAAAAAAATGTTTTTTTCTAAACACAGTTGATTGGACATTATGAATAAATTCACCCACGTTCTCGTTTACGTTCGAACCGTATTTTCCAATAAAATCATTTAAAATATAGGCAATTGAACGACAACGGGTTTTCGGGAAATTCCTAAACAATTTATTTCTATGTCAATGCTTGGATAGATATACCAAATAAATAACATCTATTCACAATAATAATTATAAAAAAACAGCTGTCTGTCACTATTCAACAATTTCAATGTTTATGTAACCGGCATAATTCATGAATAATCCATATACTTACGTCTCGCATGTCCAAGCCCCCACCAGCCGGCAGTTTGTACGATGATTATCAAATATATCACAGATGGTTGCCACATCTTCCAGCTAGTATGACACTGATTATGCATTTTATTTCTTGCTTGACACATTGTTGCTCACTCACTATAACTATAACACACTGCAATTCCCCCTTGTTCCCCTTTCTTCTGACCACGTCAAAAACTTTTTCTATTTTCAAATTGAACGACTTTAACGTATGGAAATTGCACACTAGGCTATGGCTTGGCTTCACGAAACTCTTTGTCGACATTCAACACCCACTCATGGTCACGTTAATGCCTCGTCGGTAACAAATAAAGCAAGCTTCTTCCTTTCTCCGACCATGTCAGAAAACTTCATCCGAACTTTTTGCGCGAAATTGACTTGCACGGGGCACAACTTTTTCCCGGCATTTTTTTCCTCCTCTTCGGTCGAAGTGTTATGGGCTATTGGATAATCCCACACTTCTTCGCTCCGTCCTTCAACGCTTACCGCTGCCGGACAGTTTCTGATGGGTTTTGGGATATTTGCATTTGCCTCCGGACACTGTCGCCGATTTTTGGAGACTAGGCTTGAGGAAGTGTTCTGTCGTTAAAAAAAAAGGTCCGCAAACTCAGCCGATGACAGGCAGATGATTGACGCCTAACTGCTTTCGTACTGCTCACGAACGACGAAGTTTATGCATATGTGTATCTGAAAAAGGTAGCAGAAGAATTGAAAGGAAATTAGTTTTTCCATCGACATGCGGTGGCTGTTGGACGGTTAGTAACGGTGCGTTGAGATCGAACTACCAACAAGAGTTCATAGAAGTCTGAGTGGAATCAGTAATAAAACGAACGAAATTAGACATTAATTTTAATGGTTCTAATTTAACACGCCAGGGGAGGCTTCTGGTGGAATGGGCTAAGTGGCCGTATTTGGGGTGGGGTGCTGCAGTCAGTGCTACGTGTTGATGTGTTATTGCTATTATATAGCTACTCCTTTTATGAGTCGTAAGCAATTGATTGCAATTGCTGTTGCGTATTTATTCAGTTGCACTGTGAGTGCGAGGCATGATGACGGTGACGCCGAGGGGGAGAAATTCAATATTTATGATTTGATCGACATAAAGTCTGTTCTTTAGAAATATGGGTTGTTAAATGTCAAATATGATGCTTTGTAGAGCAACAGGAAAATATGGATTACTAACCACGAAAACGGGTTTTTATTGCCATCGACCGAGTTTGTCTTTCTCACCCATATGGAAGGAATGGTGTGAGATCACCCCCTCCAAACAGCGGAAATACTCGCAAATTAAACATTGACATTTTGCTGTGGCCATTTGTTTACTTTGGAGGTGAATTGTTTCGTGCGGACGTGACACATTTTAAATACATGGTACATTCATGGGGCTTCCCGATAGTCTAGGGAGGAAAAGTTTGCGGGAGACAACAGGTTCGATTTCCGATCCGGTATAGTATTGAAAAATTGTTTGCTATCCCAGGCCTCGACTGTTCGACTGTCATTTCAACAGTAATTGGGGCTCTCTCATAAACCACGTGGATAGGTTTCGAGAGATTTTTGAGAACCAGCTCCCCTCCTCCTGAGTGGGCAATCCATACCAAATTTTAAAAGCAATGGACCGTGGACATTTGCAAATTTCCTCGCTGAACTGTCCACTTTGTCTATGGACAGTCCTAATCGTGGATTTGAAATGTTATTCCTATCAATTTTCACCAAAGATTTTGCAATGTTGAAAACTCATTCATTTCGGTTGGTATGCGTCTGGTCAGTTCATAGCCGGCTGTAGCCTCATACGACAACTCTGCAGCCGTAGCTTATCTGTCAACAGAAACGGACGTTGCAAAAATTCACCAACAATCAAGAAACGACGATTCACGCTTTATCTCCCTCTTGTTCCAAAAAATGCACAGTTGCACTTTTGTCGAAAATGGCAGAATCACGAACTTAATTGAATTATTTATAAACTATTAACTTAACCAAAAAAATGTCTTCAGAGAAATTGTTCACTGAAGTATTGTTCACAATTAATCATGTTACCATTCAAAGTGTTTTTATGTTACCTCATACGCGAAGTTTGCGATTTTCAGAGTTGGTTGGAAATGCTATCTAACATGAAGCTTTAGTGTGATAATTTATTAGCTAGAGAATGGTCTTAGAAGAGGGTAGGTGGATATTTTTTTTTCCTTGATTTTGTTTTCCGTCGATCTTGTTTTCCGTGCTGAGCACCAATGCTACCGACGCCAGGGAGGCAGCTCCCACACCTGGACCCTACCTATCGACCCATCAACTCATGAACCGGGGACCAACGGCTTTACTTCCCTGGGATTGAACCCAGGCCTGCTGGGGTGAGAGGTAATCACGCTTACCACTACACCACCGGCACCGCTAGGTAGGTGGATAGTTCCGTTAGAATACGGCAGTATGAAAATTGAATAGAAGTTGAAAATGAGCGAAGGGCCATTAATGCGACAATACAAAGTCAAACGCACACCTTTTACCTAACCCGTTCGATGTACGCGGAGATTTGAAGTATGTCAGACAGACAGGCAAAAAGTGTGCGCCCACCTTTGCTCATTACTGTCTGCGGCTGTGGAATAGTTCTAGCGACGTTTCATCACTGGAAATGCTCTCGGCAACGTGTAAACAAGGATGCTGTTTTCAGCAATGTTGTTCGGGGGAGAAAGGCCTTTTGAATTGCGGAAATATTAGTTTGGAATTGTCTCAATAAGATGCACTAGTGTTCTTGAAAATTTCGTGTGCTTTCTGTATTTTGTTCAGGAGGGTAAGACTTTATGAATTATTGAGAATTCTGAACATAACTTCTCTCATTAGATGGCTCTGGTGTTCTGGTAACCTTCGTGTAGTGTGTAAGATCGACATATTGGATATTGTTTATTCACAAGGTTGTTGTTCAACCTGGTTATATTCAAAGTTGCTGTTTTCGGCAATGTTGTTCAGAGGGCAAAGACCTTTTGAATTATGGACACTAGGTGTTACGAGTGTTCTGGTTAATTTCGTGTATATGTAGGATCGACATCTCGAGATCCTTTCTAGGGGCTTCTTCTGCTATTTATCAATTTTATCTAGATGAACGCGTCATTAGGACGGTACTAATGACTATTTTTGTTTGCTGTTGAAAATTAAGTCGTTTGCTGAATTTATGTATGGGCCCAAATTAGGGTCATTTAGGTCGACATTACCCTATCCATCCATTTTCCCTATATACGATGTTGCTGTATGCTGATTTTTTTTTCAAAAGGGTAAGACTTTTTTTTAATGGTGTAAAATTTAGATTGAAATCCACTTGTATGATATACATCTCAAGACGCTTGCTATATACAAGGCTGCTGTTTTCTACAATGATGGTCAGGGGACAAAGCGGTTTGGACTGTGTAGTTTGGGATTCTTTCACTAGCTGGCTCTAGTGTTTATATGAACTACATGTACATGCATGTTTGACATCTACAGATCCTACATATGTACAAGGTTGCTGTTTTCTGCAATTTTGCTGAAGAGAAGCAGAGTTTCTAACTAAAAACATAGCATGTATTTTGAACCACCGTTAGACTGAAAAGCCGTTATCTAAAACTCAGCTCAAGTTCCAGTGATTTTCATAATTTGATCAAATAAGAATACGTGTAAATTGGTTACATTTTTTTATTAAAAAAATCAAAATATTCAGCTAAGCTTCCAGTTGACCAAATCCGAATTGCCGAGCATTTTTTCTAACTCCTGTCATCAGCTTCTGTACAGCCACCTTGTCCAATTTTTTCGCCGCAGTACGCCAGTTTTCCTTAAACTGCTTCTCGCTTCTAACAGACCAAAAGGTCTTCTTCAGGTTCCGCTTGACGATGGCCCGATATTTTTCGATTGGGTGGAGCTTTGGTATGTGGGAAGGGTTCATGTCCTTGGACACCAACTGCACGTTGTTGTTGGCATACCACTCCATGGCCTTTTTTTTCCGTAATGACAGGATGCCAAATCAAGCCAAAACAGCACGGAAAATCGTGTTGCTTCAGGCAAGGCAGCAGGTACAGATAGCCTGCCAATCAAGATAATTCTTAGCGAACTTCGACAGTTTCATGTGCATGAAAATGTCTGCCACCTTTCCCCTTCCGGTTGCCGTTTAAAACTCCTGCCCAGGAAGCTGCGAGTACATCGGATTTTCGCGATGCGCGTGCATAATTTTGATGTGTTGCTCCTGTTGCTTGGACGTCATTTTGATAACTAAAGAGCAAATGTCAAAATAAAAATGGAGGCATCATTCTGCACGCGCACACCTACAATACGAGGGGTGTTCAAGTTTTCTAAATGCTCTATTTAAAGAAATGCGTCAAGTTTAAGTCGAACAAATTTTGATCGTAACACCCTTTAGTAGTTCATTTTCCTTTTTTAAATTCAATCCTTCAAAAACACATATAAGATTGAAATCATAATCAGTTGCTCTACCGGAATGGAATGGATTACAAAATGGTGAGTGACAATCTGGAAGGAGCGATATACCTAGCTCCGGTCCTCACAAGTTCCTACCTCACGCCTCCATGAGTCATATGATCACAAAAGACTACCAGCTGAAAGATGGACACAGCGGGTTGGCATAGCCTGGGCAATGTTGTCAATCCTTAGGCCAACTACATACTGTCTCTGAAACCTTTACAATTGTTACAGAATCCAACAGAGAAAGACATCGAACTGATTTAACGGCAACGACTTTTAGCGCAAAACAACGGACACTAATTGGATCATGGAATGTATTGACGTCAGCCCAGCAGGGTAAACTGGCACAACTCGCCAACGAAGCGCGACGCATGAAGCTAGAAATCCTAGGACTGAATGAAGTTCGTTGGCCAAACTTTGGAGAACACAAACTGCCGTCGGGACAGGTACTACTATACTCTGGTATTCGAGGTGAAAACGCTCCCCGCCATCGTGGAGTTGGTCTCCTACTTAGCGTCCAGGCAAGTGCTGCGCTCATCAAGTGGGAGCCTGTTAATGAGAGGATAATCGTTGCCAGATTTAGAACACGGGTTCGTAACCTTACCATAATCCAATGTTATGCGCCAACCGATGCTGCCGAGCTACAGGACAAGGAGCATTTTTACAGTCAACTGAATGCCTTCGTGGATAAGGTTCCAAAGGGTGACATCAAGATCTACATTGACGACTTCAATGAGAAGATCGGCTCCGACAACACAGACTATGAGCGTGTCATGGGACGCCATGGTCTCGGTGAAATGAGCGAGAACGGTGAGCTGTTTGCAGAATTTTGTGGCAATAACGACATGGTGATCGGGGGCTCACTCTTCCCCCATTGGCCAGTGCACAAAGTCACGTGGGTTTCCCGTGATGGACATACCGAAAATCAGATCGACCACTTCTGCATCAGCCGAAAATGGAGACGGAGCCTTCTTGATGTCCGGAATAAACGCAGCGCCGACATCGCGTCTGACCATCACCTTCTAATCGGCGAAATCCGCCTACACATGGCGCGGATCCAGCGACGGGAGTAGAGACTCGGGCGACGGTTCAACACACGCCGACTTGAAGATCCAGCGGCAAAAAGGTCTTTTGCTGAAGAACTTGAGACTCGAGCTGCAGACGTTCCAGAAGGTGGCAGCGTAGAAGAACAATGGACGGCCATCAAGAATGTCCGACAATGGTACTCGGCTCTAGAAAAGGAAGTCAAGCGC